CTCCCTTTAACTCGAGAACACCGACGTAATCGCCTTGAGTGGTGCAGACAACGGTCAGTCTGGGATCAGCAATGGAACAGTATTATCTTTAGTGACGAGTCTCGATTTTGTTTAGGCATGCACGATGGTCGTGCCAGGGTTAGAAGGCGACGTGGTGAAAGGAGGAATCCACAGTTTTTTGTTGAAAGACATGTTCATCACACTGTTGGAGTTATGGTTTGGGATGCTATAGTTTATGGTTCCAGGTCACCTTTAATCTTCATCTACTTTATGAAGCATAATAAGTAAATGATAAAAATTTCAAAATGATTGCACTGCTTTAAAGCCCTTTGACCTTTAATAATGTGTGGATGCACCCTGATGTGCTACGCATTCTCCAACGCGCCTAGGCGTGCTTCTGATCAGGTGGTCAATGTCCTCCTGTGGTATCTCATTCCAGGCAACCACCAACTCCTCTCGAAGTGCTTCTAGAGTCTGAGGAGGACGTTGCAAATTGAGCAATCTCTTACCCATCATATCCCACACGTGCTCAATTGGGGATAATTCGGGAGATCTTGGTGGCCATGGTGGATTTTGCTTAGGCATGCACGATGGTCGTGCCAGGGTTAGAAGGCGACGTGGTGAAAGGAGGAATCCAGTTTTTTGTTGAAAGACATGTTCATCACACTGTTGGAGTTATGGTTTGGGGTGCTATAGCTTATGGATCCAGGTCACCTTTAATCTTTATCAGAGGTAACATGAACGCGCAGCGTTATATCCACGAAGTTCTAGAACACCATCTTTTAACCTATCTTGACACCCTGGCAGATCCACCTTTCCAACAAGATAATGCCCGACCACATGTTGCAAGAGTCACAATAGACTTCTTTCAACATAATGATGTCACATTGTTACCATGGCCACCAAAATCTCCCGACTTATCCCCAATTGAGCACGTGTGGGATATGATGGGTAGGAGATTGCTCATTTTGCAACGTCCTCCTAAGACTCTAGAAGCACTTCTAGAGGAGTTGGTGGTTGCCTGGAATGAGATAGCACAGGAGGACATTGACCATCTGATCAGAAGCATGCCTAGGCGCGTTGGAGAATGCGTAGCACATCAGGGTGCATCCACACATTATTAAAGGTCAAAGGGCTTTAAAGCAGTGCAATCATTTTGAAATTTTTATCATTTACTTATTAAGTACTTATACAAAATTTTATTAAAATAAAACCATTTAAACTGGGTGTTTGGATTTATATGTCACTTAGTATATTTCTTCTGTGGCATTGTGGCTCTCAAGCTTTCTGAGTCTGTCAGACTAAGGCTTTAGTACCAAGGTCAAGCTGCGGCATCTGGGACCGCCCTGACAACCGACGGTTATGCTGCAAATGTCCATGCAGCATGTACTGAGCCACTGATTTTTATTTCCACATTTATTTTAATACAACAAGATACATTAGTGAATGTAATCAAAATATACAACATACAATAAAAAATAATTCATGTATAAATGCTGACGACATCGGGGCTATATTTCCATTTGACGAATCGATGTTTGTTGACGATATCTGTTAGAATCGATACTATATACGGTGAATAAATCATATAATTCGTTCGTCCATTTAAATTATTTACGTAGACAGGTGACCCGAATGTAATCAATCGGTTTAATTATTAACTCAACACGCGTGGTGCATCAATGCATTTGGATGATATGGATGCAGCCAGTCGGTCAATGACCAGACGAAACATGGCAGTACATAAAGTCATGCTGATGAACCTGAAAGCTCCACTGGTGCAAAAAAGCTCATTCTGTATTGAAAAATTATCCATTAAACTTTCTTTGCTGTGAATTCCCGTAGCTACATGATGACCTCAGAATTTCACACCGTTGGGGGTTTCTGAAAAAGTTGGAGTACTGTTTCGTTGTTCAAGAAAGTTTAAAGCTCTCAGGAAAAAATGTAGGAAATGTTGTTAACGCTTAAGATAGACGACACCTCACAAGGGTAATGGAAGAACTGCTGATTCTCTGCTGAAACTATGATTTGTGGATGAGGCTTCAGTAATTGTGGGTATCAACGGACTGAATGCTTGCAAGATACTGCTGGGTATTGCATTTGTTCGGGAAGCGCGACATATTTAACACGTTCAGTGCGAACAGCGTCAAAAGACGCCCTCCGCTCCTGTGGTGGGAGGCGAACGGCGTCTTTCGACGCTCTCTGCCGGCTTCCAAAAAAAGGAAAAAAGTATTTCAGTTTCTGATGTGGGTATCCTCATCCCAGTTCGCAGTCAATGTGTTAAATATGCAGCAACAATGGAAATCTCAAACAAGGAAGGCTTGTTGTTTTAGTATGGGTAGTCTTGGAGGAAATTTTATGTCTCCAAGGCAATCTGTAATCTAATAAGACACAAGAAAACCTAAATGAAATCCAAAGGTGTCCAAAGAGATCTGAAAAAATGCAAGGGAATCCGTAGAGGTCCGAGGCAATATTTCTATCTGCGTATGCGACTGGGTCATCGATGCTGATTCTACTACGTTTTTCAACAGACCTTCCAATTTCATCCGATCTAAATTTTCACGAAGCGCAAGTACCTCTAAGTATATTACAGTAATATCATTGGAAAAAATCGCCTGTCAATGTAAAGTCTAAAAGGTATCCTGTCGTTGTCTCGCTGATGAATACCCATGTTTCACTGGTTGTCAAATAAGACTACCTAAGAGACAGATGAATAAAACATGACAATATTGTCATATCCAACTCTGAAGTACTTTGAAAAAGTCCGAAAAATGTATTTTCATTCTGCTGATTTACGTGCAACATGAATTTTTAATTTTTTAGGCGAGCGCGTGACGGAAATATATATATATATATATATATACAGAGTGTCCGCAATGTTGGGGTTTTCCTTTTCAGAAACAACTACCCTTGAAATAACAAAGGTGATGTGTAGTGAAACGAGGGCGACCAGTTAAAAAAAATAAAGGAAAAAGTACTCACTCTCCAGTTGACGAGAAGGGCTAAGTACGTCTCTGCCCCAAATCATACCGCTCCAACAGAAAATGAAATCAGCTGATGCGCTACCGAGCAGACGCAGAGACCACATTGATTGTCTTACACTTAATGGCACATCTTCTAACAAGGAAGGCAAAATGTTGCGTAAAAAGTCTAGGTATTGCATCCCGTCCAATCGATTTGGGAGCATACCGTTCACCATGCCAGCCCAAACATTCACCGAAAATGTTTGTTGAAAAATGTGCCCGACGGACAGCGTGCGGATTTTCTACTGACCAAACATGACTGTTGCAAAAGTTTGTTATTCACCCCTTTACGCGTGAACGTAGATTTCGTCTGTCCACCAATATGCACTTCAAAAAGTCCGGATTATTGTCATGGTGATGCAGACAACCAATCACAAAACCGCACTCTTGCTGGTAAATCGTCAGGTTGAAGGGCTTGTACACGTTTGACGTGAAACGGATACAGCCCCTCTTCACCCAGCGTTTGCCACACTTTAGTTTTTGATACTTGCACTTCTCTAGCCACGTCTCTACTGCTTGTTGAGGAATTCTCGTCTACGCGATTACCTCTACACGCGTGACCGTAATCGTCGGTTGAAGGTTGCATACTGACCTGACACATTGACTCCGACCCAGTTCTGTCGTCGGGTGAGCCAGTGACCTGTACCAGTCGGTGATGTCGCGGCTACAGGACGGTATTTCAGATATTTTTGATGTTGCAGAGCCCTTATCTCGGTTTCCTTAAGACATTGGTGTATATGGTACTAAGAAAATTGCTTATGTTTTCAAGATCTACACGTCGTGTAAAGGAAAAACTCTAACTTTGCGTCACCCTGTATATATATACAGCTATAAATCAGGCCTTTAGGGCCCTAAGTTTTTTTAAGTTTATTCCACCGCTCCTTGTCTAATGCTTGTTTTCTTTCAGTCTCTGATATTGCCTGCCTCCTCAAATCTTCCATAACCGCACCCTTCCATCTTCCTCTTGGTCTCCCTGTTTTCTTCTTGGTATCCGGGACTCTCCATGCTGTATGCTTCACTGTTCTTTCTTGCGGCAATTCTTTCCAGGTGCCCCAGCCACTACAATCTTCTGGTCCTAGCTGCTTCTATTATGTTTGCCTCATTATATAGATGATAGATTTCAGCATTAGACCTCCGAACATACCCTCCCTCCACCTTGATCCTCCATATTATATTCTCTTTAAAGTTTTCCTCTCCCACCTAAGTAATGTTTGTTATTAATTACCCAGGTTTGTACTCCATACAAAAGTGTTGGCTTGATGATCGTATTGTGTAGCCTTATTTGGAGACTCTAGATACACAGAATTTTTTTGGTTTTGTAATCGAGAATTTGTTTGTTCAAGTATAATTTCCAAAGCACTAAAAAACTACTTTTTCTAAAATTCAATGATATAGTTGAATATTGCTTAATTTGATTTTTACGTTTTTTAGGAAGAATAAATTACTTTTGGTTATTCTGGATTTAATCGACATACTTGTCAATATATGTATCTCAAATTTCATCAATATGAGTCTGAGCAGTTTGTCAGTAAAGACTGAATATTGCAGTGTTTAACAACCTTATCAAAAGTCGGAAGTTTTTTAAAATAAAAAGTGGTCCAAAAGCTACCATTGAAGCTCTCCCGATGACACTAAAAGCCTCAGGGCAACGGTTCATATCGATGGCAACGTTTTGTGTAGTGAATTGTGGGTGGTGTCTAACACTAGTAAAATCTAAAAGAATTAAGATTGTTGTTTGCATGGTTATCCCAACCTCTGATAATACTGTCAGTTAGATCTAACGATGCTCCAGCAATGTTATATTCCTTCGTAAAACCGCATTGTCTAGACGGTAGTATACCCTCGTTTTTATTGTGTATACGTTCCTATTTCAATAATTTGGAAAATATGGGAAAAGTCTAAACCATTTCACGTTAGAAAATCGGTTGCTGGATAAACCATTGCTGAGGAGCCTACCTTTTTCAATTTTATTGTCAGGTGTGTACACGATTAGACTTCCGCCATCTTCTCTCCTCCACACGATCCGTGGATGGGGATGCCCAGTTGCTTTACAGGTAAGCGTCACATTTTCTCCTTCAGCGACTGTAATGTCGCCACTTGTCTCTGAGTCATCAATGTCAGGAGGAACTGCAACAAGAAATAGAGATGCTGAATCACTGGATACGAATTGAAACATTTCCAGTAAAAACTACGTATTATGTATCATAAAATTAACACTGTTTTCGTTGTGCCTTTACAGAGTAGGTATGTTTTCACATGCTATCTAGAATGATGGTCTAATATAGACAAAAAAAGCCACTCTGTTTTCCGAATTCGGGCTGACCTGTAACAATGCAAGTCTGCCGTATATACCACTTGTTCATAAGTACATATTGGACACTATGGAGAAAAACTTGCTTCTTCAGTAAATCAAATTTCATCCAGTTGAACCATGAAAAACTAATAACATTATAATTTCACTGAATGAAAATCATAACGCGCCCCCCCTCATCCCGTAACCAACTTTTCAGTCGCTCTATCTGAAACACACACACCCACAAACCAATTACACAGCGACCATCTCAATTAATATGCTCCAATTCTCTCATATCTACCTAATCTAAAATTAAACACGCAAACAAAACTAGTGATTGCATTGCAGAGCCGCTACACCATTCTGAATTACAATAATTCCAGGGGATTTCAGTTGTTCATGAGAAAATGTGTACTTTAGTTGTGACAGTATGAAGAGTTTTGTTTAGTAGCTCCATTGTACCTAGCATATACTCCAACGTGGAGCACATGCCGTGGAATCACATAAGCATATGATATATTATATTCGAGGCTAAGGCGAAAAGTTCTCGACCCGAAAAAAATGAAAGTGCTATTTTCAGTTAAAAGCGAGTTTATTCTCCAATGTGGTTGCTTAAGATATCAACACATTTGGTACATGTTCCTCGTTTGCTTCTTGGACACGAAGTCTAAGGCCCGTATCGTCAGTCGATCCTACAATATTGTAGGGCGCGTTTATGGCCTCCTTGATTGTCATACTCCTTTCTCTCCTTCAAAAATTTCTAGATTGTCCCGTGTCAGCGTCAGCGCTCTACTATTGTGAAGATTTGTTTTCCTTTTAAATTGTAGGAAATTCCAGGCCGATAAAACATGATATAACTCAAAAGGAAGCACAATTTGATGCAAATAGATGTTTGTGACACAACCTTAAAATAGAGCGCTACCACGGGAAAGTAGAAAACTATGACAATCACGGAGGCCATAAAGGCGCCCTACAATTGTAGGGACGACTGACGATACGGGCCTAAAAAGCTGTCAAAATGTACACCCACGACCCTCTCAACTTACTCATCGGAATCGAAGCTCTATACAGAAGTAAATTTGTCCAAAGTTGCGAACATACGTAGTTCTGAAAGGCCCAAATCAGGAAGATAGGAGAGACTGACGAGCAAATCATATCCTGAATTCTCCAGTTTTTCCATTTTCAACACACATTTGCAAGCAAGCCAAAATAATTATTTTCTTCCCAAAGCCTACCCTCATGAATTTTGGTATACAGTTGATCAAGGAAGTTGAGGTGGTCTTTGTCAGTAATTGTTCTCCCTCTTTAAGGTAATCACTTGATAGGATCCCCTCAAAACACAATGACCACGACCTTTCAGGCAAACGTAATTGACTCCTCTTTCTGTGGCGTTGAACCTCAGGCTTCCACCCTCCGCCTTTTTATTTCTGACTCGTTGTCGTGAAGCAGTGTTCATCTTCATCAATCGTTACATACAATACACACGAATTGTCCAACACAATATCGTGGAGATTTTCGATGGTTTCAGGTGTGGTTGCTGTTTTTTCATGTGTCTCATCTCCAAGGGACATGCGACGTTTAGATTAGGCTGTTCACTTTTGAGGGTTGTTGAAATCGAAGGAAGACTTCTGGTTACCTTGAAAGAATTTCACTAGGGGATTACCCATCCAACAGGAGCTTAGTCAAAAATACACCAGACAGACCAGTTACTTGAGATAGCAAATTGAAACTTATACCAATCAATGTACACAAGAATTATGAGTTGTTGCTCGTTCCTCTTTCCTGTCCGGTCAATCTGATCTACAGCTCTGCTGATGACAATCACTATACAAGCAGGAATTCAGAGAGTCAAGCCGATCTCTGCCGATGAGCTAGCCGTCAAAATCAACGTGACCTTGAATTGACCTTGTAAAGGTCATTAAGACATTTAAGCAACTGCAACTTCCGTGCCCTTGCCCCAAACTTAACCTTGTAAGGTCAAATGGTCAAAATCAGCATGACCCCTACTGACACTCCTCCCTTTTAAGGTTTTGAAATGAAATATACTAAGTGAATATATAATATATAAATAATATAAATTCGAACACCCAGTTTAAATGGTTTTATTTTAATAAAATTTTGTATAAGTACTTAATGAAGCATAATAAGTAAATGATAAAAATTTCAAAATGATTGCACTGCTTTAAAGCCCTTTGACCTTTAGAAGGCGCCGTGGTGAAAGGAGGAATCCACAGTTTTTTGTTGAAAGACATGTTCACCACACTGTTGGAGTTATGGTTTGGGATGCTATAGCTTATGGTTCCAGGTCACCTTTAATCTTCATCAGAGGTAACATGAACGCACAGCGTTATATCCACGAAGGTTTAGAACCCCATCTTTTACCCTATCTTGACACCCTGGCAGATCCAACTTTCCAAAAAGATAATGCCCGACCACATGTTGCAAGAGTCACAATAGACTTCTTTCAACATAATGATGTCACATTGTTACCATGGCCACCAAGATCTCCCGACTTATCCCCAATTGAGCACGTGTGGGATATGCTGGGTAGGAGATTGTTCAATTTGCAACGTCCTCCTCAGACTCTAGAAGCACTTCGAGAGCAGTTGGTGGTTGCCTGGAATGAGATACCACAGGAGGACATTGACCACCTGATCAGAAGCATGCCTAGGCGCGTTGGAGAATGCGTAGCACATCAGGGTGCATCCACACATTACTAAAGGTCAAAGGGCTTTAAAGCAGTGCAATCATTTTGAAATTTTTATCATTTACTTATTATGCTTCACTAAGTACTTATACAAAATTTTATTAAAATAAAACCATTTAAACTGGGTGTTCGGATTTATATGTCACTTAGTATACGTTCCTCAGTATAACGACTCTCCGAGTATTTCCCAACTAGCAAACTAGTGCTATAAGCTTTTGGTAAAAGAACCGTTCAGCCACAAAAGCTCTCTATTGTTGTTGCCTGAACACCAAGATGCTGGCTTAATGTTCTGTGGAATGCAAATTTGCTTTCTGCAACATATCTGCTCTAAAATGAGGTGTTTAAAATATTCTTTAGCATAGTTATACAACACCTTATAGGACAAATTTTTAACTGTTGCATAAACGTTTATACAACTATTTTGTAAGCCATATTTGCACGTTAGTCAAAATGGTTGTGTTGTGGCATCCATGGTAACGTTTATAAAACAAACCCGAGCCTTGTTGTTTTGCTGTGCATATTACTACTTTAGCCAACAAGTTGCTCCTAACGGAAGCACTTATACAACTGTTGTTTAGTAACTGTTAAAGGCTGTACATATGCTAAATATGTTGGTATACAACTTCACCATAACCTAACTTTCTGTCATATTTTTGTTAAAATGCCATAACCAATGATTTAAGACAAAGAACGCATGCATATTGGTTCAAAAGGCTTTATCAACTGTTCAAACAGAAGATATAGATCTGGTACAAATTCTGGGTAAATCATTCGACTGGCAACACCAAAATATTCTAATAAACTGAAGACAACATGGACGATGCCATGATTATACACAACCACCAGCCATATTGGGCAAACATTTATTCCTCTATTTAATATTAAATAATTATGTTTCAGTTCGAAATTACAGATATAAAGTGATAAACATTAGTGTAATTGTGTCTAAATACAGGATTTGTGGAAGATTTGACGCAGATAAGTTCAGTTTTCCATCTTAAAAATCTAGACATACTTTTGATCATTATCAAAATATGCGTCAAATAAGAAGCCCGTAGAAATTGCGTAACTACTTTGCACGATAATCACAATAAAATTTGCTGCGCAAGTAATTCAATAGCCCTATATATCACAGTGTAGAAGTTTATCATATACCTGTATATTTATGAAATTCACAATGGCCGATATGTTAGTAAACAAGATGACTGTAATGTGTTAGTTAAATATTTCTTCACTTCGTCTTTGCAATACATAAGAACTAGTTTGGTTGCAATAAAGTAGAATCACGTAACAGAATAGTTGTATATTGACAAAAACTGAATCTTGCACTGACGCAAATGTCCTATAGCGGCTGCAAGGGGCTTACAGTTTTGCTGTATAACTGTTACCTGCAGCCCTTATACAACCTCTTAAATGACTGAAGTGTCCTATTAGGTATGCCCATTTCACTTGTATAGCTGTTCTAAGAGGGTTTTGCTAATGTTCTTACAGTATCCAATGCTGTGTAAGGAATACTGTATAATCATTCATGCAACTCTAATAGGAGTGATAATTGTTAGTTGGGTTGGTCTGATAACCACAGCACATTCACCATTTTTTAAATCGAGCAAACCCCCTCCCTATAGTTATTACAAACTAAACATAGGATTTGGTACCACGAGAACTTTTGTTCAGGTAAGCGAGAAATATATTATACTCAATTTAGAGACAAATCGGCTGTGGCCCATCTTCCATACGTTTTATGCAGGTTGCTTTTCTAGCAAAAGTACCGAGATGAAACATGTACGTGGAACGTCTTTTGCTATTTCCTTAGCTCTTGATGGTTCAATCTCGGGCATAATATATCGAAAAAATATTTACTCGACCTACATGTTCATAACCTACTTTGCGAACCTCTAACCCCACACAATGCCGCTTCAATATTGCTGCCCCGGAGCACCGTAAGTAAAAGTAACAAATTGAAAACGGTCCATGCATAATCCCGAGAGTGTATACATGCATAATTGAATCACCGCTGAAAATTTCATATTTTCATCTGCGGTTCAAGGAAAAGCTGCACTCACTACCGTTCCACTATATTTCATAACATATTGCCTGCTTCTTGGTTCGTGGGGCATTCATAGGAAGCACAAAATAAAACAGGGCACCTGTTTCCTGCCTGCAAAATTCGA